CCCCCTTCAGATATTTGCCTGTTCTCGTATATATCATTTAAAACTAATTAAAAATTGACAAACTCCACCCATCTCACCCCAAAATATAAAGAAAAATTTGAAAGAAAAATTAATAATTTTTAAAATAACGACGACTATAATTCAAAATGTTTAGAAAAAGCATTTTTATAGAAAAAAAGTAAAAAACCAAAATTATTTTTATAAAAATCGAATATAGCCAAAGGCATATATAAGTATACCTAAAGACCTCCAATAAAATCTATAGGAAAACTTCACCTAATTTAGCATTTCACTATGTTAATCAAGGATTCAAATATCAAAAAATATTTGACCCATTTTTGGTGAAGAAGAGTTTTGCATATTAAACAAATCTCATTTTATTTCTAATAAACGATTTAAGGTTGCAAAATTAATCAAATTTGATTTAAAGAAATATTTAATTTTCAAAAAATCTATTAAGAACATTTTTAATTTCCAACCATTGGAAACATTCCAATTCTTCTAGAAGTTCTGACTTAATATTAAAACATAAAATACTACAAACATTTAATAAGATATTTTTATTCATCTACTTAGATATTTTGTCCACTTTTAATATTTGTTTCAAATATTATTTTTTTTTAATGGGAAAAAATTTTCATCTTTTTTCCTTTAACAAATATTTTAGATTATAAATGGGTAAACATTTAAAAACATATAATATACATAGTAATTTAATTTTGTAAGAAAATATTATATTTTAAAATTACAATAATAAAATATATCTAATATAACAAGTCATATATTAAAAATGAGTGTAAATTTTAAAATATCGATGGCTCTAAAAAGAGCTTATAGTAAAAAAGTACCTAAAAAACATGTATAATTATGTTTTATTTTCTTTGTCAACTGATTTGATTTTTTCATCAAACGCATACATCAAGGAATGGGCAAACCATAGAGATATGCCTCATTCAAAACATTTTTAACAAAGTTTCTGATAATTGGTAGATTATTAATTGAAAGAAAGTACGACTTTAATGATTCATACACTTCAAAAAATCGTTGGACACAAGGAATTAAAAACACTAAATGTGTTTTTGAATAAAGAAGTTATTTACAATTAAGGTCAACAAATTTACAAAAGTATTGCTTAGAAGAATTCATAAAATTTTATTTTTCATTATTTTATTTAATCTTGTATATTTGTGATATCTAATAAATTTTTTACAATTTGTTTTTTAAAAAAAAAGTTTTTTTAAAATTTATTTTTAAAAAATAACTGATAATAATTATACAGAGAGAGTAGAATATTAGAAATAAAGATTAATCTATTTTTTTATTAAATTTATTTTTTAAATACAAAAAAAAATGCTAATATAAAATATTCATAATTAATTTTTTGCCAAGAGAATTTAGACAACGAATTTAAACAATATTTATCTCCTAAAATCAATCCTATGGAATTATTATTGAATTATTGAGAATTAAATAAAGGAAAATAAAATACAGTAATAACAAAGGATTCTTTCACCTAAAATTCACCGTTCATTTAGGCGATGTGATTTAAATAAGGAAAACCAAAACTCATTCTTATATAAAAGTTGATAAAGCAAATATTCATAGCTATTTCAATTTAAATTCAAAATTATCTTGTTACGATACAATTCACAGAAAAGTAAATTGATCACCTATAATTATTTCGCGTATATTCTATTCGGTTTCTTCACAATTAAAGATATGCACAAGTTGACACTTTAATCGGTATTCGCCCCCCCCCTTCTTCCACAAGTACAGTATGTCCGAAAACAGTTAGGTTTGGTTATAGTAAATAGGATCCGATCTAAGGTCAATTCCCTCCTTTTAAAGCCTGATTTCAAATTTTTAATTAATGGTATCTCGACGATGACTTGGCGGATCTTTACCCAATGTTATATTGGCCATCGAGTAAGTTGTAATGGAAGCTTCGAAAATTAGTGTCTTTCCTTAAATAGAACAAAATGTGAAATATCTTCCCTCAACAATAAGTATTTTATCCATTCCCCAGATTTTAAAATCATTCCTCATAAGGAACTGTGTTTAGGTTCTCCTATCAGCTTTTCAACCTCCTTTTGTCAAAATTTTTGACAATTTGATTCAATTTCTTTTTAATTCGTTAAAGAATCTACCTCATCTTCCCAAGCATCAGTTTTTTCCCTCACCAAAAAATGTTCTTTCTTACCTAAATTCTTGCACATTTTAAAATCTTCTCCTGCTTTTCAACATAATTCTCTCCTTAAGTCCTTCGAATTAAAATTTAAACATTTTATCGAATCCCTTTAGTCCTAAAGTTTTCTGATTTTAATTGGTCATTTGCCTCTTTGCTTGCTTTCCAGGGAGGATTTGGATTTTCATCCCCCAATTTTTGCTTGTTTTCTTTCTTCACGGATATCCTTTAACGACTCTATTTCTTCGCTTATCGAGTTGAACGATCCACTTTTAACTTCGGTCAAACAATCTTGGCTTACTCTAGTTCTCCAGGGATCCGAGCCCCGTTTCCAGCCATTTAAAAAGCTTTCTAGTACTCAACAATGCGCATTTGAAAACTTTATTTGTGACCCGATCTAACTAACCTTCAACTAATTAGAAACGCAAAAAAAATTCTCAACAACCATGAATGGCTAGACGCAATACCGAGTGGAAAATGTTACTCACAAACTATGAGTTTTAAATTGCCATTGACCATAGGCTAGGTTGTCTTTTTCCATCTGTTGAATCTGTGCATCCTGCAATAAACAAGTTGATCCATTTTCTAGACATTGTTTCTTGCTTTAAAGTCAGTGGACGTTTTTGTGACATGACAAAAATTAAATAGGTTGATCGGCAAATCTTTGATTTAGGCGGTTTCCCCAATAGTTTGGGGCCGTTAGGTCTCCTAAATGAGGATGGTAAGCGTCCCGATGGCATGTCTTTAACGTCTTGTCTTGTTGGCTCAGCGGCAAAAGATTTGTCTGGGATGTGTCATGTATTACCTCATTTCCCGCTAATAGAAGATCTGACCTCTTGGAACTCCAAGAAATCAAAAAATGCAATAAATATAGGTCCCTTTTAAATTCATCCCCCTAATATTTAGTGTTTTGGGAAACCCCGGTCCCCAATCCCTGAAATTTTCAAATCAATTGGGTAAAATTTTTTTTTATTATTGATGGGGGTTAAAAACGAGTTCAAACAAAAGATCAAATTTGAAATCCTAAAAGGGAAGTCCCTTTTCCATTTTAGTTCAACACATATGAAAACAATAAAAAAAAATATAGACAAGCGTAACTTATTATCATGTAATTGTAAAAATACTTTTCCCGTAATATAATGTAAAATTATTATTAAAAAAATATAAAATAATAAAAATAGATATCGCAGACCGGGCATACTTTCAGATATCTCAAGGATTTTTAGTAACCCTATTTCCAACACAAATAAGAAAATAATAGAAATGCAAAATATTTAAAAGCGAATAATTGTTAAAAATATTTTTTATAGCTATCTAATATAAGCTAGTATGTAAGTCAGAGTAAAATAGAATTAAATTAAACAATATATGATAATTTAAAAAGTTAATTAAAATATTGTTATTTTTTTCCAATTCGATAATTTTTCAATAATTCGTGTTTTAAACCATAAAAATTAAAATGTTGAAGTGCCCTTTGATAAATGTTTAATTTGTAAAATTATTCAAAAAATTAATATTTTTTTAATAAAAAAAATATATTAAAACTCCTTTTACCCAACAAATTACCATGTAATAGTGTATAAAATTTAAACAAAATTACAATATTTACCATCTTATTAAACGTGGTCAAATCTAATATACCACTTTCCCCCTCTTTCCATAACGCAACCTATGGCAAAAGTGTTGCCAATCCTTGCTTCATATTTTTCCAAATATTTTGATAATTTTTCTCGAATAAGAAATAAATTTTACTTGTGTTAGGCCATTTCCAAATGGAACGTTTTTTCAAAGCGGTTTCCTAGGCAAGTTTTTCAACAATTTTTTGTTATTGTATAACAAAAGTTATTTTATAAACAATTAAGGCCCCCGAGATCAAACGTCATAAATTTTTTTTATTAAAAATTATATTAAATTTTTTAATTCGACAATTATTACCCTCTGTTTTGCTATAATAAAAATTTACTAGAAAGTCTGCCTAAGAAATAGCTATGAAATAACTCTCTTTGTAAAACTTTTATTCAGTGAGATGAAATCTTATTAAATTGTGGATACATGTTCATGTTCTTTATTTATGTGATGCAAATGGCCCTTAAACTTTTTTGCATACATTTTTTTAAGCCATCAAATAGTTTTGTTTATTGATAATAATAGTATCATCATATAAGTTAAACACTTTTTCTGAAAGCTTTGGTTATTTTGGTTTTATCATAAAACAAATCGAATATTTGCTTCTTCTATAAAGTTAGTTATTTGATATCATTTTTTAATAATATTTGTAATATCATTATTATGTTTGTAATGATAATTTTTACCAGATTAACGGAATAAGTTAAAATAACTGGAAAGTTTCAACATAATCTAAAACAGGAATTAAGAGATGAAATTAGATTCGTGTGCGTTTTTTTCAGGATGGGACATATCATATGCCGTGTTTACCACACCATTTGGATACCTAGGTTACGATATGCAGTGCACTCTTACGATTTATAAAAATATATTTAAAAATAAGCAATGTTTATAAAATATTTAATTTAAATATTAATTATTTATAAAATATTAATTAATATTTTTAATAAAGAATATTATACACCTATGTATGAATAGATGATAGATGTATAATATTTAAAGACAATTTATAAAATGTGGACATTTATATATGATGCGAAAAATGAATAAATTTATTAGTATTATATAATTTTTTAAAATAATATTTATTATATAAATTACAAAACATTTATTGATTAGATAATTCAAATAAAAATTTTAAATATAATTTTTATAATAATTTATAAAATGAATTTATTGAATACTTTAATATTTTCATATGTTATGATTTTGGGATTGCTTAATGACGTACAAAGTAATTCTTATATATCAAAGGTAAGTTAACTTGTGATTAAACTATATAATAGTTAATTGTATTTTTAAAACATATTCTTAAAAATAACTAAAATAGTCATTATTCTTCATTGACGGATCGCATTTAAAATTATTATGGGAAGGGGGGGGGGGGGTTGTCACTCATCTCTATATTTTGTAATTTTAAGGAGACATGTTATTTTAGATTTTTTTGTTTCTAATTGGAAATATGTAAATATGTTAATTTGATGAAAAATAAGATACTTCCTTCTTAATTTTATTGACAAAAAGAATAATTAGTGTATCCCCAATCCTCGCTTCTGCTTAGAATAATAACGAATTACACAGCTTTCTTAGAATTATAATATTACTGGATACATATCAGATAATTCTTTCTTAACGAAAATACGGTTAATAATACCAAGTATTTTACTTTTTAAATTTTTTATAAAGCAGAATAAAGAAAACCAAATCACCTTTCTGTCCTTTTATTTTTAGGATGGAATGCGCCCCAAAACGCTATATCTTTATAGCGTGCGTTCAATGCAATCCTCATTATTCTTGGCCCTATTTTATAATTAAATATATTTTTTATTGGTAATTCTTTATTTTATAAAGATTGGGTGAAAATCGGTGAATTTATTTAAGTTTTTGGAGAAAGCTGAAAGAAAATAACTAAGCCTTTGTGAGTGAATTATTTTTTGGCTTCCATCTCGGTTAGATTCTTTATCATGATTATAATTTCCCTTTAAATAATGGTAATTTATCAGAATTCTTACTATTTTTGACCAAATTATGACATTTGGATATAAGTATTTAACTGGGAAAAAAGAATCAGATAATAAGATTTTATTTCTCTACGTGTGTTTGTCAAAAATAATTATTAAAACCAGTTTATAAATATAATTAAATTTAAGAATTTTTAAAATATTTATGGTAGCAGATCATATTCTGGTTAGGTATACCTAAAAATCATCAAGGGCCTCAAACACAAATAGATTTGAATGAATGTGAACATGTTCACGAATTTACGTGATCCTTCTATTATAAATAAACCTGGAACCCAAAGAGATTTGACATTGCCAATAATTGTTTAAAAAAATATTTACAGCACTATTTATAAATATGGATCATATTATGGAAGGAGTATGAGAATTTTGGGGTGAAATTCGGCGATTAGATAATAGAAATAAAAGGTGAACGAAATACGGCAAATAATATAAAATAATTAATGGTTAATCTAACTACTCAGACACTTTTTTAAAACATGTACTTTGTTATTATAAGAGCCAGAGTAAATACCCATCCAAGCCTTTACATATTGTTAAGATGCAAATGATGATACAATATTATTGAAGCCGTCGTATCTAAAAGGATGTTAAAAAAAATAGCCTGCACAATTTTTAACTTTTGTTTTATAGAGCCAATAGATAGGACTTCATAATAAATGACTTTAAGTAAGTATGTTTTTCAATTTTCTAGACTTCTGAAGAGAAAATCAAGGTTTTTAGGATATTTTGAAGAATCTAGTAAGCATCGCTTAAAGCGACTCGTAGGAAAAATTGCGTTAAACAGGTATGAACTGACACGGTAAATTAATAAATGATAAAATACTATATTAAGTCCAAGCATAACTACTATGGCTTGCATTTTAAGGAAATATGCAGTATTAAAATGATGTTTAACTTTTTTGTCGATTTTAAAGTTTCATAAAATATAAAATATTGCATTTTATATATTGGCAACTACTCATCATTTTTTGTCGCTCAATATCTGGGAAACTTTCTTTCTGAGTTAGAAAAAATTAAAGATGAATTTATCCTTGAGTCTAAGAAAATTCAAATGGTCAGACACAGGACCTAAAGTAAAGAAAACGTTTGTTATTGCAAATGCGTCTTATGTTTTGGAAGCTGATTGCATGATTTAATTCAATAGATGAATAAAAAAAGTTAGCATAGAATGCAAAATCTCATTTTAAAAAATCAGAAAAACTACAGTTGCTACAAAATCAAAGATGTCGAATTTTATCGATTTAATCAATATCGATAGAAAATGCTTTGAATACATAGCAGTTATTTAGATTTGAATGATAATGATCCTTTTTAGGAAGATAATTTTGAATGATAATAGTGTGAATGTGATAAAATATAAAGTAGTATAAAACTGTAAAGATAAATGTGTCTCAAATACCGAAAAGTTGGTTTATCATTTTAATAAATGCCACAAAATTAAAATTTTTTTTATTTTGTTCCAGCAACATGCACACTTAGCAAGCTTGTGGTTTTTCTAGCTGGGGTCACTTGAGTATTATGATTATAAATTCAATATTTGCCTAATATTTAAAAAGAGGTTCCTAATAAATTAATAATAATTTTGGAAAAGAAAAATTAAATTGGAAAAATATTCGGTGCCTTAGCAGCCAGCTGATAAGAATGAAGGCACAGAGGTTTATATGTATATTGTTCAAAATTTTTGTGATTTATCTCAGAGAGTTTTAATGTTTAAATTATTTCACCTACCTTAAGTGTTTAGAACGAACCATCGGAACAGGGTAAAGAACCGGTAAAGTTATTCGGCATCCAGAATTAGAAAGAAAAATAAAAAAGAAGGAAAATCCATGCATGAAGAAAGGAAAAGGAAACACCGCGCAAATATAAATATCAACGAAAAAATCAGAATAATATTTCTACGAAAATATACATTTTCGTATTATCTAACATTTCTTATTCTCCGCTTTAGTTTTTCAAAATACAACCTAATAAGTATCTTACCCCCTTATTCCAATAACGAACAGTTGTCAGGCCCTTGTAATGCAGAGGCTATCTGCTACTTACTACCAATATAAAACCATATATAATAGATTAAAACAATTTCATATTGGAAAACAACCAGTCTAAGTATGTAATTTTGAAAAGCTCCCTTGTTTTTTTAAGTCCGATCAATTTAAATTGATATATAATATCTCTTTTCAAGAATACTCATATATTTTATTCTATTAGATGAGTATTATAGTTTCTTTAATGCCTAAAAGAAAATTGATAAATTTTAAATTGAAAAATATTTTTTCGTGGTATATTTAGGGGTTTCGTAAATTCTTGGCCATACATCATTCACTGAGGTTTATAGTAAATTTTAAAACTTAAATTATCTATAACACGCTTTTTTAATTTTGAATAACTTGATCTTGCGGAATTGTATTTCAGCATGTATAATATAATCTACACTAATTTCAGATATTTCCTATGTTTGTTTTAATTTTTTAAAATATTTATATGAAAAAAATCTATAAATAAAGGTTTGTATAAAATAATAGTTCAATGAAATTAAAATTGCCTGAAATTCACAGAGTAGCATTTTACATGCGCAAATACGATCGTTAAAATCAAATCTTTCAAAATTTAAAAAAAATGCGATTTCTAAATGATTTAAGTTTTTAAATTATCTGAAAGCGCAGATTTTCTAAACTCCTAGTCACATGAAATTCATACTATCTTTTTTTTTAGTTGATATCCTTTTCGGCAAATGTGCTCCTTTTATTTTTAAGTTTTTTTATAAACAAGTGTTGAATATATCTAATATTTTGCTAGATGTATTAAATTTATGTGTATTTCAATGATATAGATAAAAGAAATTTATTTTATGAATAACATTAATTTTTAACAAAATTCTAAATGATTAAAAGATAATACCAAAAAGTATAACTTAAATATAAATTTAATATATTTTACACTGACCTATTTGCAATGATTTCTGGTAAAAGCTTACAACATATATATATACTTTTAATATTATATTTTTTAATTAAATTTTTATTTCTAAACAGGATCACAATCTGATTTCTCCTTATCGTAAAATTTTTATTTAGTAGGTCATATCATATAAACAAATCATATAAGCTTTACAGTATAAATCTTTAAATGGAATCACTTAGCTCTCAAATGTAATATTAATTATTAATAATATATAAACATTATTATCACTTATTCTTCTCTATTAACAATATAGTATCATATATAATTTTATCTAATTTTATCTCAACCTATGTTTGTTAAACTAATCAAATTTAGTTTATAAATAACTTATGTTTCGTAGCTTAATAAAATAATTGGTCCTTATGCGATTACAAATCTTTAAACTAAGTAACATATTAGCCCTCATAAATAATTTATCGATGCATCTCTGAGCCAAAAAAATTGAATAAATAAAGTTATGCTTGAATAAAATGATCTGAGCAATTATCTTTGCTAGGACTAAAAAAATTAAAAATTTCATATTATTTTTTATTCCCCTTTGAATTTCTTGTTAAACCATCGATTATAAATAAAAGGGATTAATTTTTAACTTAAGCCATTAGAATGATTAAAATCACTAATTACTAATAATTTTAAATTATTTTATTAGAGTGAGACAATTTTATTTTTGTATCAACGATATTAATACTATAATTAACTTAATTAGATTTCATATTTTTATGTAAATAACGAAATATTAAGATTTGGCTATATATTGATATTGCGAATTTAGTTGTTTACACATTCAATAAAAATTTATTTTATAATTAAGTGCTTAGTCAATATATTATATAGAGGTACCGTATAACTTGAGGGGATTCTAATTTTGAAATATCTTGAACTTCAAGAATTTTAGATTATCAAATAAATTTTATAATAAAATTTTACTCTCAAAGACACTAATAATTCAATATAAAAATTTAGAATATAAATTCCGAACATGATATGATAAATATCCCAATGACTATTCAATTTAGGAATTGCAAAACTTTGATTGATAATTTTTCAATCTTAAAAGAAGATATAATTAAATATGATGATGATTTGAGAAAAGATCATTCAAAATGTAGAGCGACTTTGATTATTGATTCTTCCTTTTTAAACATAGGATCCAAAAAAATCTTATTATGTTCAATTGAAATATGTTCAATTAAAATTGATGGTAAAAATTATTAAACAATAAAAAAAAATATAGCTAATTATTCTTCCAAATTTTTAGATAGTAAAGTTAAAAATAGAGTTATTCGTGAAATAGGTGATATGGAATCAAGTGCAAGATTAAATGTTAATACTCAAGATGGAGATATCAATTATTCAAGTAAAATATTTAAAAAATAGAATTAATAATTGTATTAATAGATCCTAGATTCCCATTATATTTCCCAATCAAATATAGATCTTTTATCAAGACAGGGGTCATGAAAAAGGCTGATCTTAATCCATTAGCACTATATGTATCGAGAGGAAAAAAGAGGGATTTTATAATACTTCAAAGAGATGATAATAGTAAAATATTTTTAACTAAAAATTTCCTAATCAATAACTCCCTCCGCTGAAAATAATAGCGACGCCATTAATTTAACATATATAAATTTCCTCAAATTATCCTGTTATCATTTAATAAGGTAATAAATATATGGACTCACATTCTCCTTTATTATACTCCTCACCAACTACAGCTCAAGTTTTAAAAATGATCAAATCCTTTAACTTTTCAAGTCTTACATATTACCTTTTATAAATTACCACATGTCCCAGAGTCATTAGAGAGGAGGCCCACAGGGGCTCAAGCTCCCTTAAAATTTGAAGCCCCTAAATTAAAAAAAAAATATCATAAAAAAAGGTTATTTCGAAATTGTTAGGTCATTTTTAAAAATAATAGCCAAAAAATTCAGAAATTTAAAAAAAATATTTTTGAACCCCCTGCGATTGTAAAGGCGTGATGCCAATCTGCTCTACTACATTATAGGTTAAATCGTTAATGGGAGTTATTCCATTCCGGATGCTAAAATTTTAAAATGGTTATATAGGTTCGTACCGGCTTGGAAATCAATATCGGTGGGTTCCGATTTCTATTTTGATAATAATACAATAAAAATTTTAAAATAACCTAGCAAAAATTAATTATATTTTATTATAAAACACGAAAAGAAATAAAGTAATATAATAACTATTAACATGTTTCTTTTACATTTACAAAAATATTACTAAAATTTTATTATCTTTACTTTTATTTTTTAAAATTTTTACCTTTATATAAATATGTAAGCGGAAATGTATTCCATCATGTTTGGAATAATCCTATGAATTTCAGGCAATTTTACCATGAAATTTTGAACTTACTATAATTATAGATTTTTTATATAAATTATAACAAATATGGCAAAATTGTCTACAATTCATAAGATAGGTATTTTAAACATGCTGGAATGCATTTCCGGTAAAATGTATTTTTAAATTTAAAAAAACGCGGTCGAAAAATGATTCAGAGTTGAAAAAATAACACACTGCATGAGGAAAACACTATCTTATAAAGTTTAAATACCATTAATTTACTGCGTTTTCTTTGGATTTTTAAATTTTGACATTAATATATTTTTAATAAAAAAATTATTATAAAAATTTTTTAAAGCCGTTAGGAACCGGGTTGAAAATTTTTATAAGAGATTAATTCTCCCCTTTTGATATTTTATAATGGTTTGGCTATGGTTCAAAATATTATAACGGTTAACCCAGTGACCCCTACACTTTTTGAGGAATAGAAGCAGAATACCCCCCTAAAGTACCCCCCCCCCCCCCCCCATTGTAAATTATTTTTTGACACCAATAAATTTTAAAAATAATTTTTATTGCATCAATATTTATTATAATATAAATATAATGTAAAAAATATATGCTTTAAAACTATTATTTTTAAATTAATAATTTAGATAAATTAGGGGAAGAGAAAGCAAAAGAATTTATAATTTTATCAATATTTAATTGTTTAAATAAATTATTTTCCATTGATAAAATGGTTAAATTATTAAGAAATGGATCTTTCATGACACTACGAAGTCTTGTTTTAATTAGTTTAATTTTACTCATGACCCTTTCGGCAGTACATGATGTAGTAGGAATAGTTAATAAATATTTATATAATATTGTTAAATTTGGGAAAGCAGAAAAATTTATAAGCAGATGATAAGGTAAAATAAATGAATAGTTTCTCCAGTCTGAATCATTCATCTCAGAATTATTATCATCATCAGAAGAAGCTAAATAATGTATTAGTAAAAATATTTTAATTAAATAAATTTACAATTCTCAGAATCTGACAAATCTTCTTTAACCTCTAGGTCACGAGTAATAATTACGTCCCCCGTTTTAGCCATTTTATAAATATTTCTAAACATCAACATTTCCTCAAAAACTTGATTTGTATTTAATTGATAAAATTCACAGATATCCTTGATATCATCTTTAACAATTGCCTTTTCCGCCATTCCCTTTGGGGTAAAAAATGATGTTTGACTCAAAAATTTTATCGATTCATCGTTAAATCTTTTACTAAACTGCATAATAATTAAAACAAGTGCAGCATAAAACACACTGATTTTAAAGCTAAAATAAAATATTATATTTAATGATGAAAGTATATATATATCTTGGATTGTAATGTTTGAAGTCTTGAACTTTCAAAATCAAAAGGTAAATTTCTCTTCTTCATAAAATCTTGGGCCTTTGAAAAGACATCCAAAAATTCAGTGTTATTATCTATTTTAGGATTATAAAATAATAAAAGATAATAATTTAAATTATACTTCTCATATTAATCAGGCAATCTTTTACCAATTGAATTTGATTTATTGCAAACCCTATATCCTTCGAAATGGTTTGCAATTTTGTACAAGCCAAGCTTGTTATCAACAATATTTTATCCAAAACACATAGTGATAAAATAAAATCAAATTTTTCTATTCTATAGACTATAGCACTAGCCATAGTGGAAGTGGCAGGATCTTCAGAATCCTTTAAATTTGCCAAAGCTGCCCTCAAAGCATTATAAAGTAGGAAAAAAATTACAATCGCCTTATATGATGTTAGCCAGCTTCTATAAATATAAAATAAACATTATATATCGAAACAATTAAGATAATATTACCGAGTGGTGATGCGTAAAAATCTATGTGATTTTGTCAGTAAATCACTCTGACATGTTTTGAGTACTTCATATCTTTTAACACCATTAAAATATACGTAAATTTCGTCTAATATTCCCAAGACATTTCGCAGCTCTTTTACTGATTGGCATAATTGAACAACTATTAAATTTAATCGATGACAATAGCACCAAATAAAAGCTGCCTTTGGCGCCTCCGCTCTAATCAAAGCCTGCACTCCATTAATTCTTCCACTCATGTTTGAGGCGCCATCATAGCTTTGCCCCACTAGGAATTCGAGGGGTAAATTCATGGAGCCAAGCTTGGATATTATATTCTTTTTAATATCGAGGCCCGTTGTATTTCCCGTACAATAAATGTCTATCAGCCTTTCAACGGGCTTAGGTGTCTCGCTATTTTCAACATATCTCACTATCAAAGCTATTGCTTCTGATTTCGATACATCATATGTGCCATCAACTATAATTGAATAGCACCTGTTGAATTCAATCTCCTTTTGAATTTTTTTTATAACCATATTTTTAATGGTTTCAATAAGAATATTTATGTTATTATATGATAACAGATTTGAATATAATTTAGATTTTAATCCCTTAATTTTTTTCTCACTTCTTCTTTCTTCATTATCTTGTATATACATTTTAAGAACAGGCTCAGAATCTGCAATAAGTTTAATAAGGCTCATCATATTGCCATCTTGTTGCCTGTTCCCCCAGAAGGCTTGATTGCGGGATAAGCATTTATATTTTTTTTGGTTAATATTTTTGGGCATATTTTGACAATGATCTAAAAATTATAAATGATTATATATAAGATTTAATATTTAAATTTTTACTATTCCCTTTGATAAAATTTTAATTTTGCGCCAAATCTTGAAAGTGGAAAAATAATTTTATGATAAGAAATATCGGATAACAAACTAATTTGCTAAACATCGACCATAAAAATTTTTAAAATAATAAAAATTTTAAAATAAAAAATTAAAAAAAAAAAAGTACCCCCATAGAAATTTATAGAAGCAGTTGCTTCAAACCCCCCCCCCCCGTTGTAGGGGTCACTGGGTTAACCCTGACTATTAAATATATTGATTTTTGCATTCATGTTTAAATGTAATAAAATTTGCATACTATAGAAGATTTTCTGACATTTTTATATTAGCTAGCGTTCAAAGTTGATTTATCTTCTTCTCCTCATAAATAACTCCTACTGAGTATTAATCTCGAGCCGATACCTTTAATTTTTTACCGATACCAAATTATTCACATCGCTTTAGGATAGTTTAATAACTTTTCAATTTATATTTTCTTGCAAAATAAAGATATATTAAATATTTTGATAATATAAAGTAAATTTTTATATTTTAAAACCATTTTTTTTATTTAATTAAAAAAAATTTTAAACATATATTTTGGTAATGATATTAAGTTAGCTATTAAACGTTTTTAAAATTTATGTGTTTTTATAAAAATATTAGAAAAGGTCGTAAATAATTCTTATAAACAATTTTTAAATTTTATTTTGGAGTTCCATATGTGGCTCATTCGGTTTAGACTTTAGAAGCAGTTTGGTAGTTCGCTTCGATCTAAACCTTATTAAAATTTAATATTTCTATCATCTTTTTATTTAAAATAAATAATCTAATTTTTCAGTGAAGCTGGTCAAATATGTGTTGTTTCTGGAGGGGTTACTGACTTTTATTTAGTTTTAATATTGTATAATATCCATAAAAATTATTTATAAATTAAGGTTATAGCAAGTCGACTTAGGACAGGTCCTAATAACTGGTTTAATTAAATTTGCCTTATTTTTTAAAAAGGTGCTAAAAATATAAAATTTTTAATTTAGGGGTGTTAATGCTAAGCTCGATTTGTTTTTTCTGAAGCCAATGATTGTTATGTTGTTAGCCTACATGCATTTTATATTATTTTGATATTTAAACTAAAATAAAAATTGTCCTGGCCCATGGTCTTCGGTTTGGATTTTACATTATAGTTTAGGGTTGTTTCTGAAGATCAGTTCCAGAACTGAACCATACTGGTTGGAATCCAGCTGGGGACATTTTTTTCTTCAGAAATCATCCTCCAAGAATAGATTAGGTTATAATATTAAAAATTGTTTTGAGTTAAATTTAAAATTAATATACAAAAAAATCGTGGATATTTGATGAAATTTGGACCCAATGTTATATTTTCAGGCTCATTTTTAAAAGTTAAATATATTTGGCGGACACTTTTTAAAAAAAATAAATAAACTAACACAAGCCGAAAAGAAAAATCTAAATTCATTTTTAGTTTATTACATATTATATTGGGTGGTCCTGGTCAACATAAAACGTCGCACATAGTATAGAAAAAATTCATTTTTAAAATTAAGTCCACATTTATTAAAACCATTTTTATTAAATAATGGCACCCAAAGATCTCATATAAACGTGTTATGAAAGCAAATGCTGGAACTTTAATTCACTAATTGCCCTCTAAAAATTTAGTAAACATTAAGCAAAAAGTTGATATCACTACGCCTCTCTCGTAAATTTTTTTCCCCTCAAAATGAATATACTAATTACCTTTTAGAATAACTATTTCAAATTTTTCAGAAAATAGCATTTAAAAAAGGAAGTAAATTTAAAAAAAAGAATGTAACCTGGCCAAAGGCTTACATAAAGCGCAGATATCGCCCCCCCCCCCTTATGATATAAATTGCAAAGGAAATAAGGAGTTATAATTTGACGAATAAAAAAACAATGCTGTCTTTGGCGAAAATTGAAAATAAATTGAGGTAAAATAATTGTGATTTAGTTTAGACGATCCTAAATTTAAATAAACTTTTCTGCTAATATTATATTTGTTTATTATTATGTCTATTATTTAATGAAAGAATAGTTATAAAAATATAAATAATTTACCACACAAAAAATTAATTTAAAAATTTTTTTTCAAGAATAGTTAAACATATCCTTTATAAATGATATCTCTAAATTTTAAATTGATAGATTTTGGTAGAAGGCTTTAAAGTAGCAACATTTTAAGTGGGGCACCCGATAATTTAAAAAATGAATGAATTATGTTCAAAAAAAAGTGCGGGACAACCTTACTTCTAAAATTTTTTATTATTTTTCGCATATACTATTTCTTCATCTATAAATAAGAACAGTATTTAAATGAGCCATCCTTATTCTTTAGCGTATGCTTTTTATTATTGAATTTGATAACTACCAAAACCCTATTGACACTTTTTTTTTCTTATAAAATTATTAAAATTCATTAATATAATTAATTGACGAAATGTTTACATTAAATTTTTCCACTAAATCAATTTCCCCACGACTAATAATAAATGTATTTTTTATAAATAAGGAATACCATATTTTTATCATGAAATCTAGAACAATATTTTTCCTATTTCATCAAAAAAAATTTCCTTTAATTCTTTTCTTAGCAGTTTAAATAGAAGTTGGGAAAGATGAGCTTCTTAACTAGAAATTGTAGTTTTACATTCTCTGGGTGTTAGCTACATCCCCTTCAAGCTTGAAATATGGCGTATTATATTATATTGATGTATAATTATTTACAAGCAAAAATTGAATTGTAATATATAACTTTTAAAAAATAAAAGGTGATAAAATTTAAAAATAAGTAATTAAAATCAATAATTATAATAATATAATATAATTTTATGAATATCTCTTATTTATTTAAAAAAAAATTATCTAAAATAAAATATAAAGTTTGTAAAATAAATAGTTTCAAAATAGAAATTCATTTCATTTTATATTTTCTAAATTTATATTTAAAAAATGTATAGAAATAAACTGGTTAATTTAATCTATGATAAATAGAAATTAATTATTAAAATTTTTTTTAAATAACCGGTATAGGTAACTAATTTTTAAACCGAATCGAAAATTGATAAAAAATTTAACAATAGGCTCTATGCTGTCCCCAGCTCAGCGCTAGTTCGATTCTATTTCCCAATCTTTTTAAAAGTTTTCTGCTACATTGATCTAACAATAATTTATAATGAATAATATTTTTAAAATAAATTTAAAATAATATGCCATTCCTTATAATAAGTTCGACTTCTTTTTACATTTTTTTTCATCATTATAATATATTTTATGGAATATTTGCTTTTAATAATCTATAACAGTCTATAAAAATTTGAGAAAATATAATTAACGATAAAAATAAGGAGTAATAAGGTCATTCAAAAAAGTATCTTACCAACTTATTACTTTACTAATGAGATTAACTTTCGACAAAGGGTTTGTAATAAAATATTTCGGTAATCCTTATATATATATTTTTCTCCTTTTTCAATCAATTGTATAAAATAATTATATAATATAAATCAAGAATCATTTCGAATCTAAGAATCAGAAATTTTCTAAATTTTAAAAAGATGGTTTTTTACATTTACAAGAAAGGTACTTGTTCTAACTAGTTTTGTTAAAAGGCTCGATCTGTGCCAATTTTTAAAACGACTAACTCATTTAGGCCAGAAAAATATTGTCCAAGCCTCGAGATTTGGTTAATAGATGTCCATTAGTGATCTGCATCGGGCTTTTAAGCCCGATCATTCGATCTAGAACGAATTTTTTTATTTGTCCCGAAATAAAAACAAAGATTTTGTCCCATCGGGAAAGCCATTTATTTAAATATATAAAATTTAAATATTTTTTTGATTGTAAAAATACTCTATAAGTAAAAATAAGCGCCTGTTTCTTGAAAGAATATTAAAATATATCAATTTATTTCATAAAATTAATGATATCTTATTAAAAAATTTACGCTCGACTCTTTTTTTTAAAATGTAGGCCCAACCCAGCCCGAAATTAAATTATTTTTAAAAGAAGAGTTCCGGCGGGGCCGTGATTTGCAGATCTCGTGTCCATACTTTTGTGCCATCTACGAGAAAAATCTTTAGGACTAAGTAATATTTTTAACAATCGGCTCAAAGAGCCGTTCAACAACACTAGTTCTAACAAAATAATAATTCATATATTTTTCCAAATTTTTGTGTTAATAACAAAGTTCAGAAAAGGAGCAAAACATCTAATAACTGAAACTGCCTTTTTTTAGTCTAGGTTTAAAATTCTGGTTACAACGAAATATATTACAAACAATTTGAAACTTTCATATAAAAAATAGATAAAAATGAACAATAAATTAGTCGAACTGATGCCTGGAACTAAATTTTTTTTCTAAAAAATCGCGTCAAGCTTAAAAATGATAAAAAATATATTTTTTCTTCATTTATTAAAAAAATTAGCCTGAAAATAAATAAAAATTAGGGCTGGGTTTGGATATGAAAAAAAATTAATTAAAAAAAACCATCAAAAAAAAAATTGAATTTAAGGACTCTAATGAAATTAAAACTCGGCTCACCATTATCAATAAATTAAATAATTTCATAAAATTAATTATATTATATTTTAACCAAGTTTATTATTTTTTTTAAAATTTACAAATTATCACCAAAAGGGCCCGTTAAAATAGCCCTGCTCCAGGATTGGAGTGGGGTTCCATATAACATTGCCGAATTGCGTAATTTAATTAAAAATAATTATTTTTATAAAGTGATGGACGATATGACTGATAAAAGGGTACCGCCGCAAGGTTTCTGGGGAAGCAGAGGATAACAAATTTTATTATAACCCTTTCAAATGGCTTATTAATTTTATCACTTTTGTAATTCTCGGAAGAATTTTATATCATATTAGCATTCGCATTATCTTTATATTTATATAAGAATACTTTATTTTTTAATATTTATATAAATCATTTGTAAACAAATACCAAATTTTAGATAATTTTATGTCAATTTTGGATATATTATATCGTAATGCCCTGGTTTATATAATAAATAAATTTGGGATGGTGAATCATCGTTTCCATCAGATCCAAAGGTATGTTGATTAGAACTTTTAATAGAAATCTGATTACTACTGCTATTGTCAACATCGTTATCAGCATTATTAGGATTTAAGTTTCTATCTAGATATTCTATAAGTATCGTTGCGCTTAAGGCCGAAGATAATGCTAAGATATGTATATGATCGCTCTCCCTATTCATAACTTCCACTTCCTAAAAAAAATTGTTATATTAAAATTTATAATAAAAAACTGGTTAATTTAATTCCAAATATTCAAAGAGATACACGATCCAGGATTTTCCTGCCTTTCGATACAATACTAAATTATTTTTGTATATGCTGATACACTATCAGATATCGATACTACAAATTCTTGATTTTTTTTAAGATTCTAAATCATTTTTAGGCTTGTTTATTATGGAATGTTTTGTAAAGTATAAATTTCATTTAATCATTTTATATTATAAAATCTTTTTTTGTTGTTTAAAAAGATGAATTTTATTTAAAAATATAAAAGGACATTAAAACAAAAACATAATGAAAATAAAAAAGGGGGGAAATTAATTTGGAGGACTTAATAATCCAGGATTGATATGCCGGAAACCAAATTTCTTTTGATATGGCGAAAGGAATAATCCTCGGGTCTTATATTAAAGTAACTTTAATAATTTTAGAACTCGAAATCTGAATGAAGCAAAGAGTCAGACTATTAAAACAAATAAAAAGTTGTTCAGCAGGTTGTCGAATTTATTTGCAGCCCTAAGATGGAGCTAACAGAAAATGATCTGGCGAGACGATTCAAGGAAATGTAATATACATTGATTCTAAGGGAAAGATTAATTAAAAAGTTTGGTTGTCAGGGCAGAAGCTGTAGAGATAATATGTTATGAAGCCAAATTCATCGAAGACCAATAGTATTCTAGGCTCTTCATGAGAAAATTCATGATTATTGTTTCAAGCCAATCATAATAGATTCGTCAAATTTAAGAGTATTGATTTGTACTGCATAAGCGATATCAATGATAGAAAACATGGTCAATCAAATTTTGATGGAAGGGAAGATTGTATCGGGGGGTGGGGGGTGGTATTGCCCATTTAAGTTCAAGGATGAATTCCACTTTTTAGTTATATGATCAAAATTGGGAATGAACAAAATTAATGTTAAATTGAATTTTAGGAACACAAAAATGTTTTAATTAGATAAAAGGCTCAGTGTGCATGTAAAACTTAAAGATCTCTCTAAAACTATATATATTTCAAAAGCTAACTTTATTGTGTTTAATGTAAAATTATAATATAGCATAATATTTCTATAAAAATAAAAAAATTGAGCAAATTTTGTTGAGATTATATATTAAACAGTAAAGGTTTCAATTTGTATAAACTTTTGAGACATATTATTTAAAAGTTGGGGATTAAATAAGCCACACCTCAATTCTCTCATTTTTAAAGAATTTTCCATTTGTTATAACATTAAAAATTGGCAGATATTCTATTATCGTGTACCTCTAATATTCAAAATAGATTAATCTAATTTTTTAGCTATGATTTAAGTTTTATAAAGATAAAAAGGAAAAATTTGTAAAATTACATAACTAAGTGACAATAGATACACCTTTATAAATTAATGCTTAAAATTCATGATAACCTGGGCGCAAAAATTTTCTACGTTGTCATAACCCTCGATAAAATTTTGGAAAAAATCGGCATTATTTATTAGATATCTTGAAGTGATAAGTCTATTTAGGTATAGTAAAAATATAGTAGTGAAAAATGAGTATTCAGAAATGTTTTATCTAAATCTATACAATTTGATTGTATTCAGATTTAATATATAAAAAAATAGAATGTTTATGTCAAAGAAATTCCATAAAAAACAAGATAGTAAAAAATATTAATAGATTCACTTAACCTAAGATAAATTACTATATAATTTGATAAGCCATCATCATTAAAAATTTCATCTAAATTGCCCTCTGGTAAATTATCCCTGATACTGATTAATGAAGTTTCAACCTAGAATCATATTAATAAAAAAAATGAATACAAAAAAAATTATTTACTGATTGATAAAAATCTTCTAAAATATAGTCTGAAGTACCAGAATTGATTAATTGTGATTTATAATCTTTACAAACACTTAGAAATCTAATTATTTTTATGAAAAAGAAATTTTAATTCATAGAAAGGTAACTCATTTCTTATTATTAATAAAAGGAATACTTAGTTCAAAAATCTGGGTTGAAGCTAAGGATTTTTATTGAATTTCACATATATTTTTCTTAAAATCAAAGACGATTTTGCAAAGTAAAAATTTTGATTCTCTCAGGCAGGGGCGGACTGGCGACGTTACGGCCTCGTGGGCATTTTTTATAGAGGCCTCGTTTATATGGGGGCTTTGCCCCCATATCCCCCCTTCCTCCGCTTTTGCCCGGTCTTCGACCGGGTTCTCTTAAATGGCTTTTTCGCTTTACATGATTTTTATTACTTCTTATTTTTGAAAATTCAAATGATTTACATTTTTAGTAAAAAAAGAATATTATTATACGATAATAATATATTTTATTTAAAAAAAAGCGCATCTAAAATCATATTCATATATAAAATAATATTCATTGCACATATATATTTTATATTAGATTTACAACGATATTGCACTATAAAATCAAATCATACATCACATGTTAAATATAAAAAAATACATACTCAATATCAAATCAATTAATTAAACATATAGTTATTGCAGTTATAGAAAATTACAGAGAATAAAATTGCTGCACTTATAAAATCAATTGTAAATAGATATTAATAAGATTCAAATAAAAGAATTAAGAATATATATAATTTTTACGTTAATAAATCTCTCATTAACTTTGAACCTTTGCGTAAATATACAATATCTTCTAGTTCAATCTGCGCTAATAGTTCTCGTTTAACTGACATCATTAAAAACGCTTCTAATTTTTCTTGGTCAATATTAGCTCTCAGCTTATTTTTATAATTTTTAATTTACTAAATGTTTTCATGCAATTAACCTGCGTAAATGACAAAGTTAAAATGTATTCATATGCCAAATAAATTAGTGTCACTTTTATGCATATTGTATCTTAAGAATTTCATACACGCATATTAAACACTTGTTATATTTATTATCACAGAGTTATTATCATATTGTAATATTCCATCTTCTTCATTTGACTCCTCACTTGTACATACGCTGCTACCAAATCTTTGAATACACTGGCAAATGAACATAATTCGTTACGTAATTTAACACTCAATTATGCCAATTGTGCCAGTTTTTCCAAGGCCTTTTCAGAAATACCTTTACTATTTATTTCATCAAAATGTCTTGGATGCAAATACTGCACATTCAAAATAAGCTCTCAATTCGCAGAAAGCCGTTCCGACAAGCTGTTTATAATTTGATCAATTATAAGACGAAATACTTCGAACCTATAAAGGTCAATCAATTCTTGAGGACGTTCATCTTGGCATTTATCACTATATATTCTCTTCGCTCGTCCTATTCAATTTTTTGGCTGAGCATTCTGTAACCTGATACTCTCCGGGAGCTTTAAATATGAAAGTGTTTCATTTAAATTAGAAGCCATTTTATTGCTTTATTTTGAATCGATGTAATAATCGAGGATACCGAAGACTTAGCATCTTCTATCATTTTCCATGCTGACAAAGGACCTAATTTTTTAGTTTGAAGATATGACAGTGGCCCCATTATTTCAAAAATTTCCAAATATATTATAGCTATAGAGTCTTAAATTTTTATAAATTATCAAGTTTTTGTCTCAAATGATTTATTATCTATTAGAAATTGAAGTGCATTTATCGTTATTGGGAGCAAACTCTCTTTACCATATATCGATCTAAGGGCTTTTTCACGTGCCCACCATCTTATCTCACCTATTTTTTACAGCCTTCTCAACTTATTTTGGCCAGTTGAATGCTTCCGTTTCACTCCATCCATCCTTTTATCTGATTCACCGACCTGGATTTTATTTGATTTCAATGTATTAAGAACAAGAAATGTTGACTATATTATTTCTACAATAAATCAATGTATAAAAATATAATATAATACTTAGCTTTCACTCTTCTCAAAGTGAAGCGTTTTCACTTCATTTGAAAAAAAACAAAGAAAAGAACGTGTTAATGATGTATAGCGTCAAGTGACGTTATTGATATTTTATGCATTAAAATATAGTAAACAACATGACAATTCTCAAGGAATGTGATATTCAAATCATAGAGATATCATTAAAAATAAATAAATGATATGAGAAAATAATGCGAACATAATAATTTTTTTTTCTAATCCGCCTCTTTTATGATATTTTTCTCTGATCGGCCTCAAAAATCGACATTTTCTCGCGGCCTCATGGGCAAAATGCCCACCTGGTCTTATGGCCAGTCCGCCCCTGCTCTCAGGATTTTTCAAAAGAAATAGTAAATAGCCCAGAAATTTTTGCTATTGTATTTTATTTTCAAATTAAAGTTAATAAGATGAATTGTTGAGTTTAATAACCTATGCTCTTGGGCGTAAGTCATGGGTGGGAGGGGGGGGTACACTGTTTTAACAAAATATATTGTATGGGTATTAAATGAGCTAAAAAACGATAAATTGATCACATTGATACTCAACACTCAATGTCACCAGGGTACTTGTGAGAGAGGGGGGGGGGTGGGTTAATTATATATAATATAATCAAATGAAAGTTAATACAAAGATCAATTGATACTCACCGCCCCATGTGTCTAGGTAGGTATTGAAGAGGGGGTGGGGGTAAAAGGTGCATAGTAAAATATCTCAACATGGTACCAAATGAAATCAATAAAAAGTTCAATTAATTACATTAATACTCATCTTTCCAGAGTGGGTTGCTAAATTTTATAACATTATATCGATATGGGTATCAAATGAAAGTGAGGAGATTAATATGTCATCGAAGTAAGTAAAGGAGGGGGGGGGGGTTAAAAATTTCCTAGTATAATATCTCAACATGGGTATCAAATAAAAGCTAATTTAAAGATCAATTTATTATATTTAGGCCTAAAACGAATTATTTGTTATTTGATATTCGATTCGTATTTTACGAATACGAATAACACAATTATTCGATTCGAATATGAATAATGAGGAAAATTATTCGTATGATTCGAAATTATTTATATATAAATATTCGTAATTATTCGCAAATATTTTATTGCAAGTAAAATAAAAAGAAGTAATTAAATTTTCCTAGTGGATATCATTTCGTTTTATTTTATTTCCTATTATCAAATATCAAATCATAACAAGTTATATTTGCTGAAAAAGTTTAATGGAAGAAAAGGAAAAGCTTCAAAGTAAAATATAATCATTTTATTTTGATTGTTTCTCTTTAATCATTTTTGATGTTATGAACAAGTCAAAACATTTTTATAGAGTGTGCCTCTTTCCCATATTCTCGAGCTCCTAGCAGATAATAACTAAATATTTTTGACTAGTTTTTATTATTTGATTAGGAAAATCCTTTTCCCATAGTAACCTTATTTTTGGCAAATTTTAAAGACAATCTAATTCAGATAGTGCATTATAATATCTTCATCCTTTATTACATTGTCATAATCACCTCTAAAAATTATATTAATAATTAAATAAAGGAAATTTATGCTACTAAGGTATTTTTATATATTAAATAAAATCTATAATGAAATACTTTCTAAAATTTTGTTATATTTTATATGCAAATATTTAAAATGTAGATATTTTATATAGATTATAATTTTAAAAATTTTATTTTGTCATAATCCCTTCACCTCTAATAAAATGATATTAATAATAAAAATCAATACATTATTAAATAAAGGAAATTTATGCTACTAAAGTATTTTAATAAATAAAATCTATAATGAAATATTTTCTAAAATTTTGTTATATTTTATATGTAAATATTTAAAATGTAGATATTTTATATAGATTATAATTTTAAAAATTTTATTTTGTCATAATCACCTTCACCTATAATAAAATGATATTAATAATAAAAATAAATACATGATTAAATAAAGGAAATTTATGCTACTAAAGTATTTTTATATAATAAATAAAATCTATAATGAAATACTCTCTAAAATTTGTTATATATTATGCAAATATTTAAAATAAATTTTAAAATGTAGATATTTTATATAGATTATTTTAAAATTTTTATTATATAAAAACTATTTAAAAAAATGTAATTGAACAATTACATAAAATATAAATTTAAAAAAATATATAAATAATACACTGTACTTTGATTAAAATAGTATTTCCATAAATTTTAAGAATTAATACAAAAATATATAAATGTTATAACTAAGAATTTATTTTACAAAAATAAATATTATTTAAAACTAATATTATCATATTGCTATTTTTGATTTGAATTTATAAAGAAAGGTCTAATTTTCTCTAAGGTTTTGCTAATTCATAATAGGAATAAAAATAGAAAATTAAAATAATTTTATTTTTTTAAAAAAGACCCCCTCCTCCATGCCTATACCACTGTTTAATTAATTTACTGTTTTTTTCTTTCAGCTTCTAATGTGTCATTAATCTGGAATTTCAGGAAGGATGGTAAACTTGGATTTTATATGATATAATGTTAAAATATATTCAAAGATCAATTAGAAAATCTTGATGGAAGAAGATGTGGTGAAGGACATAGTCAATCCTCAAATAGTTCAAGATCTACATCAATCTCTGATCAAACTGAACCTTTTAATGCTAGGCGGAAAAATTCTTTAATATGGAATCATTATCTCCATGATGCTAAAAAAGAAACAGCTAAATGTAAAATATGCAATGTGGAGATAATGTGCAAGAAAAAAACTACGTCAGCACTAATTAATCATAACAAAAGATTTCATCAAAAACAAAATAAAACTATTAGAAACTATTTAAATGATATACCCAAAACAAATGCTGATGATGTTAAGCATTATTTATTAAAATTTTTGCTAAAGTCAAATATACCTTTTAAAATTCTCGCCACTCAGTAATTAAGTCCTTCGTTAGAGCTTTAAATCCTGAAATAAAAATATGCTCAATACCGTCGATTAAACCATATGTTGTATTCCATATCAAATCAACTGAAGATTCAACC